CATTAATCCAGGTTAATTTGCTAGTGTTGTCATACTAGTAATCGGTTTTTCTTTTTCTTTATACTTGTAATTATGATATGTTTCGTTTAATGCGTGAACGCATGTGGACTGTTTCCCTGCAGAATCTGAATTTGTTCTGTTATATTCAATATTGTCTGTGAATTAAAACAGACACACATACACAAATATATATATATATATATATATATATATATATATATATATATATATATATATATATATATACATGACATATATATATGTGTGTGTGTGTGTATTAAATGTAGGTAGAAGATTGAGACATTGAACTGTCGAAGGATTCTGCGAACTGCGTGTCCACATCACTGCTAAGAATGCCATAATTTGCAGTAAAGACCGCCACAGCGAAGCATGAGAGGCAAACCGGGCGTAGAAGTAGTCTTGTTAACCAGTAAAGGACTGGAAGTAAACAAAAATTAAACAACTTGTCGTTGTAGACATGACATATGGACACTTGACATTATGTCATTATGCACACATGATCGTATTGGAAGATGTAATTACGGGAGCATGGCATGAAAGGAACATATCATTATTGGAACAAGACAGGACAGACACATAACAGTTTCGAAGAATGTCCCTATGTATACACATAAAAAAAAAGATACATTATATCAGCTACGTTGCCATGTGATGGTGATAGCATTGTTGTGGCCAGTAGTTCTTTCCCTGTTCATTGATTTCAATGTATAAACTAGCCTTTTCAACGTCTACAATCTGTGAAATAGGTTTCATGTAGTCGTCTCAGATTCAACGTCTGTATGTCCACAGCTATGTACGTGCACTCCCGACTATATAACATGTTCGGCTCTGCAACAACTCCCGCCATTGAACACGGGACCCGATGTGAATCAAGTAACGCAACTCGTAATTAATGTAAGTTTTCCGTTACAGTTTTTATTTAATCGGATCTGCTTCTTTCCACATTGTGTATATGCTCACGAACATTGGGTTGAGAAAATAGTAAGCTTATTTCTTTTTTTAAAAAAAGAGCTCACATAAATATCTGAGACAGATGAAAAAAGATGACGTTGCGGATGAGAAAAAGAAGAGACGTAAAGGATTTTTGTGGCAATCTCATGGATTATTCCTTGAACATTGACCCACTTTTCTCTATACTTTGCCTATCTAATGAAGCAGATTTGAGACGGTCTCCTAAGATGTTCACAAATAGGTGCTTGAGCTGCGTTTTCTTGTAGCTGGTTGTGTTTAGCTCTTTAAGATTATTTTTTACCCTGAGGTCGTCTAGGTTGCTGGATGCGAATATTAAGTATGGATATTATAAGGTAAAATAAAAATTTCGAATATCTTGGGTCACTGGTTACCAACAATGGTGACACAATGAAAGAAATTAAACGGCGACTATCAATTGCTCTTCAAAGACTAAAACAACTGAATAAATTATGAAATTGTACAGATAGAATTACAAAGGTCAGATTTTTAAGAGAATGCATCTTTCCCATTGCAACATACGCCTGTGAGACCTGGACACTTACTAAACAAGCGGAACAGCGCATAAATGCATTTGAATATAAATGTTACAGACAGGTTCTAAGAATATCTTGGGTAAAGAAAAGAACAAATGCATCCATACTTCAAGAGCTGAATATTGAAGAGGGTTGGCTAGTAAAGACAATAAAACAAAGAAAATTGAAATATTTTGGTGACTTGAAACGTCATGGAAGTCTAGAGAGAACAATAATGGAGGGGTATATGCCTGGGAAGAGAGGAAGAGGAAGGCCAAGGAGAAGATGGGTGCAGGATGTGGCAGATGATCTCCAGATGGGTGTATCAGACGCAGGACATCTTGCTCAGGATAGGAAGGTTTTACGGAGGGTTGTTATGGCAGCGAGGTTCCGCGAGGGACATGCTACTGAATGAATGAATTATAAGGTGATGGTCAGTGCAACATTCAACTCCACACATTGATGTTGTCACCTTTACATCTGTTCTATCTCGTCTCCTAACAATGTCATAGTCGATTAGATGCCAATGCATTTAGCGAGGGTGCAACCAGGAGGTTCTATTTCTTTAGGATTATTGAATATAGTGTTGCTGATGAGGAGATCATCTTCTGAACAGTCTCGTTATTGGGATGTTATTACCAGAGCAAGATTTTTGACAGTTATTGCTTCCTCGTTTGTAGTCAGATCTAGTGAAATGGAGAGGGACTGGTGTGTGAGTGCCTCCGTGAACTTCCAAGAGGTGTTTACGGAAACAATCAGCTAGCTCCCTGCCGGTTCCCACCGTCCTCCCCCAAATTGTATGTCTTTTCGCATCTTCTACAGGAGGAATTGGGGGGGGGGGGGGGGGTGTATAGATTTAGTCAGGGCATTCGCAAGTAAATGCTACCTTTATTCAAAATGAAAGATTCGGGGAACTGATTGATAAGCCATAGATATCGTGTGGGTGTGTCTTTTCGTATCAGGCGGGAGCACTGCCATGGTTATCATCATCATCAGAGGCATCATTATCCTCAACATTATCGTCTATCTTTCTCTTTTTTTTTAAAATTATCTCTGCCTTTTCTTTTGATGCTACTTCTTTTGTTTTTGGTGCAGTATATGATTCCCCTCTTTTCTATTGTGCCAGTATCTTCACGCCTGTTTGTTCTCTTGTTAAGCTTGCTAGCCCGCTTAGATGATATCTCAGTTTAATATTTCATTTATATATAATCCAGGTAATTCTGCAGGTATAATTTCCGTTAGTATTAAATCAAGCATTTCCCCAGTTTTAATCTTCCATTTACTTGTAATCGCGGTAATTATAATAATTGTATTCTAATGATCTATATTAAAAAAATGTTACTTTTCCGAGGTTGTTAACTTTAAACTCGAAAACTACTGAACCGATTGCTTTCAAATTTTCACACAAAGTTGCTTTCGACTCAGATAGTGATTTTTTTTTTTAAAGAAAATCGCACAAACCACGAACGACGTAGCTCCAGCAACGGTCAAATATTATTTGTTTTGTTGCCGGCACGGATTTGTTTTTAGTACATTGACCAGTTTTGACTGCTGAGCTCTTTTTTTTTAACTTTGCATTACTATATAATTTCATTTCCATTATTTGTTTGAGTGTTTGGTAGCGTAGTTGTAACTATTCTGCCTTTTATGCGAAAAACCCGAATTCGAATCCCAGCTAGATTATGTTTTTTTTAGCCCGGTTAGCATGTTGTGTTATGGTTTATGGCCATGCTGCGATATCTACGCCTTTTTTCGGTTTTGGGGTTTACAGCTAGCCTGCGATAGCGACGACGTGATGCTCATTGGTCATGTCACTGGTAATCTTCGTTCGCCCTTGAGAGGGCGGTTGGCACATTGTGTTGTAGTTTACAACTAGGCTTTGATATCTGACCTAAACTCTTCAGTCTTCGGTAGTATAGGTGTAAGTATTCTACCCTTCACGCACATGACCAGTGTTTGATTCCTGCTGGGTGATAATTGTTCCTTTTCCCTTAAAAAGGTGGTTGCTACGTTGTGTTGTGGTTTACAGCTAGGCTGCGATATCTGCCTATCATGAAGGTGACTCGCGTTCGTTTTCCCGCTAGGTGATATAGTTTTTTTTTTTGGGCCCTTAACTGGGCGGCTAGCACGTTGTGTTGTGGTGTATGGCTAGGCTGCGATATCTGCGCCTTTCGCCCAAAGACATTCGATTTCAGTAAAGTCCCAGTTAGCCTTTCTGTGATGCTTCTCGGTCAAAAACTATTCCACGATGACAGAAACTGTTAACTAAGACTGCTTACAGTCCAGTTTAGTTTGGGGGATACGGATGTCAGGGTCAGTTAAAAATCTCCCTTCAGAGAGGGAATAATGACGTGTGCGGGGTATTTTTCTCCGCTTTTTGTTAGTACAGTGTACTTTTTATTGTGGGTTCCATCACTGGTTAGGTGATGAAGTTTTTTTTTTTTTAATATTTCGGGGCAAATTCAAACTAAACAGTCCTTGGCGACAGCATGCGACGCTAACTCCTCTTGCTACACCGACCTACACATACTGTAGTTACAGTTGTTGTTGTTATTGTTGTTGTGATGGTGGTGGTGGTAGTGGTAGCAGTAGTCTAGTACTGCATGGGTGATGTGGTAGCTGTTACACTGGCTACATTTACTTCTCAGTACAAATTACTGCTACCCATTTTAGTCTGGGTGGACACGGATGCCAAGCTCAATTTAGTTACAATATTTCGTCAGATGACACCTTCCCATCCTTTGGAGAGTATGATAGGATTAGTTGGGGAAGGGGAGGGGGTTAGGGGTTTTGATGCCAGACACTATTAACTGAGAGAGCTTAAAACAATATTTTAAAGTTCTCATTTCCTAACTACCCTTTTAAATAATTTCGTCAGGGAAGATTTTTCAATCCTTGATGGAGGGAGATATGACTGGGTCGATGGGAGAGGGGGCAGGGGGATATGACAGACACTGATAGCTGAGAGCTATTTTCTTTCTTTTCCATTTCACCATCTGGGCCACAACAACGCGTGGCCGGGTACAGCTATTATTCAATAAAGGCTATTGTCTAGGCTTAATCTGTCACTGATTCAGGCAGTTTGTTGATGTCTTTAAAATTGCTTTCTGTGGTTTGAAAGGACTGTGACAGCACACATCCCTAACGTGCTCATCATTTTATCTTTACTTGCAGTGAGTTGATGTGGTCGAATCGAACTGTTGCTATTTGTACCAAGCATAAAAATAAGGTAAAAGCACATAGATATTTCGCATCTACAACACTAGGTCTATATGTTACAGACCGATCGGCACTTAGTGAAGGATGTTGTCAATATCGCGCCTGCCGTCTGCACTTCTTACAACTTAACCTGGTACTCATTTTTGGCTTGGTAAACCTATTTTTTTCTGTTTAATTAATTATTTATCACAATTTGTGTGTGTGTGTGCTTGATATTGTCTATCTCTGTCTACATAAATATTTTTTTTTTCACTTTTGCTCCCTGTATTTTTTCAGAGTGGTGCCCTAACCAGTGTACCTAGCAATAGTCTGCCTCCTGGACTTTCAATAATCATTCTGAACACTAACCCGCTCACTAATTTTTCGGACGACGCCTTCGACACATCAACAGGAACGCTACGAGAACTATACATTACCAGTGAGCATTTACCAGCGGCACTAATGAAACTGACCTCACTGACCGATCTAACTATTACACGTTCTAAGGTACAGAACTGGGATACCGCTATACTGAAACATATCGCTGCTACAGTTGAGAGCTTTGAATTAAGCAGCATGAGTTTATCCAGCTGGCCAAGTTGGCTTTCTTACTTTCATTTGCTACGTAAGCTCGACTTGAACAATAACCCCATACACACTATTCCTGACGACGCCTTTAGCGCAGTTAACAACTCACTCACAGATCTTCGCCTTTCACGTACTGGTCTTACTGGAGTGCCTACAGCGTTGTCCACACTCTCAAGCCTGAGTAGCCTGGACTTGAGTTATAACAATCTCAAAGACGTATCTGAAATTCAAAAGATAACTGGTTTCCCATTTTCTCAACATCTTTCATATTTAAGTTTAGATTCAGTTGGGTTGACCAGAATGGCAAACCTTTCAAACTTGACAAGTCTGAAAGGTATTTACTTATCTGATAACATGATAACGGATATACCTGCTGGCTTACTTCCAATATCTATAACGTCATTGCGTCTTTACAATAACAGTCTTTCATCTGTACCAACAGTTATTGCTAACCTGTCCATGCTTTCTGAATTAGAATTGACTAACAACGTAATCACCCACATTGAACCCAATTCGTTTCCGTCGAGTATGACACGACTAGAGCTGGGCAGGAACAAGCTAACTATTATAACAAATAGCACTTTCAGAAACCTAAATCTACTTAGCTATCTGGATGTCAGCTACAATCCAATCTCAACAATCTCACCTGAAGCATTCTCAGATCTGGAATCTTTGGAACAAATCTACATTATATATTCGCAACTGATAGAAATCCCTCTAGCTTTCGCAATGCTGAACTATCAGATAGATGTATACTTTTCCACAACCCGGCCACTAGCTTGTCCTTGTCCGGTGTCGCACAAACTAGTTCTATGGTTTACCTCTCTTGAAAATTCGCAGAACATTCAAGCAATCTGTAGCAACGGGCAGTCCATTGACTCGTACCTCGGTGGTCACTGTTACCATTCACTGACTGATCCTTAACCCGAGAATCCCGCAGGCAATCCTCTGGCCAATTTAGCTGGAAAACCTATTCACGAAAATCACCCCATCTGTTTCGACTGCGAGATTTTGTTGCGGTTCCACGGGCTGTACTATTTTCTAGAGGTATTCCAAGATGAATTCCTTCGCCGTCTTTACACACCGTGCCGAAAACTCTCCCGCTTTCCTTCGACGCGGTCGATACAATGTGTCCCAGATCTTCTTCTTCTTTCGTTCGCCTGAAAAAAGTTGTCTATGTCAGCAATTTTGTCTCTAGTATAAATTTCACTGTCGTTGTTAGTTTATTCAGTGGTCCATAGAGTTTACGTTCCACAGTTGTTCTTTCTGGCCAAAAGGTTTGCCTTAATGTGTCAAATTCGGTGCAGTCATGGAGAACATGCTTTGCTGCCTGGGGCACCTTTCCACAGGTGCACATGGCTTATACGCCTATCTTGAATTTTGTGTACATGTGGTTACGTAATCGGTTGTGCCCTGTTCTGAGGCGGAGGATAATGACTTGTTCTGATCTGTCCATAATAAAATAGTCGTCTTGTGCTGGGGCTGGTGGTTTCCTGATCGATTTAATGATTCTTTTCTTTTGGTGGTATGTGACTGGTACATGATCACAACCCTATGGTAATAAAAACACAAATTAAACTTAAAAACGCAAAAGTCACCCCATATAGACATATCAGCTTTGAAACAGCCAGAAATAAGCCAGCAGTACCTAGTGGGGGTTAACAATAAATATGACAGATTAATAGTTGAAAGAACAATATCAACAGGAGAATCCAGAGGACAAAATTAATACAAAATGGGAATGTTTCAAAACTAGTATAGAAACAGCTAATGCCATCTTACCAGTGAAAGAAAACAAGAAACATCAAGTATGGATGACTGAGGAAATTATGAACAAAATGATACAAAGGAAGAAAGCAAAAAACACTCCAGAGTATTCAGTAATAGACTAAGAAATACGAAATATGTGTAGAACTGCTAAGGAAACATGGATTCAGTTAAAATGCAAAGAAATAGAGGATCTTGAAATAAAACACAGAACAAGGAAATACATGCAAATATAAGAAAACTTACAAAAAAGGAAAAATATTTAACAGGAAATGGTTGTATTAGGGGGAAGGCTGGACAAATTATTGTTGATAAGAAAGATATAATAAAAAGATGGACTGAGTACACAGAAAACCTGTTTTGGGACAACAGAGGTGGCAAACCGTCAATCCATAATATTCAAGAGGGGCCAAACATATTAAAGTCTGAAGTAGAGAGAAATCCATTAAACTGATGAAAAAGACAAAAACCATGATATTTAGTAAAGAAAATAATCAGCTTACAATGAAAATCACAGTGAACGGGGTGAGATTGGAACAAGTTAAAAATTTATTGTATTTGGACAAGTAATAACATGTGACGGCAGAAGTGAAACAGAAGTCAAGAAAATAATAGGGATGGCCAGAAACATTTTCAACATGCAAAAGTTACTGACATCAAGAGAAATAAGCAATACATTAAAAATGAGAATTGTCAAATGTAATGTGTTCTCAACCTTACTGTATGGCACAGAGACATGGACAATGAACAAACAACTGGAAAATCGTATCAATTCTATGGAGATGTGGATATACAGAAGATTAGGTCGTATTTCATGGAAACAAAAGCTTTCAAATACAGAGGTACTGAGGAAATTGGGAATAAAAAGAAAGTTGCTAGGTAAAATAAAAAAGAGACAAGTGAAATATTTTGGTCACATTAAAAGACATAACAGTATTGTAAAAATCATCCTAGAGGGAAAAGTTCAAGGTAGGCGAGCAAGAGGCAGACAGCGTTACAAGTGGGAGGATAACATCAAGAGATGTACGAACAGCAGTATGAGTGAGTGTATATCAAGGGCAAGAGATAGGGCTTGTTGGAGATCCATTGCAGCCAACCTTCATTGTGGAGACGGCACTTGATTGATTGATTGATTGATTGACTGGTACATCCGGCTGCACTTTTATCGCACCTTCTCCTGCCAGTTGATCAGCTTTCTCATTTCCAGGCACTCCACAATGTGATGGTATCCACTGCATTACAACTCTTCGCTGAACGCTGAGTTGTGTCAGCAGTGTTTGCAATTCTGGTAGTTTCCTAGACTGGAGTGCTTCAAATACTGATTTAGCATCTGTCAGCATTACCACATACTGTGAGCCAAGATTGGTATTTAGCAGTTTCTCTGTTGCTATCTTGATAGCTTGAGTTTCTGCATCATGGTTATGGCAGTACTTTCCAAAATGGAAGTGCGCAACCTTTATTTTCCAACTTGTGAACCAACTTGTTTGTGAAATGTGTTGTGAGTAGCCGCGGCGCCGCTAATCTCCTTTGTGCAAGGAATACTGAAGAGGGAAGCAGCGAAGGCATGACGTATTGTTAGTATAGAATCATTGATGTTTTTGTATTTTTACGCTTGTTGGCGGTAGCTCTCGTCGATGGTAGATGTGCTTTTAAAGTTCAAAATGAACACCCCTAGAACATATGACGGCCCATGGCAACAGTCCTAAATCTTGCATCAGTACCAACAACTCTAGTTCAGTTGTAAGAGATCATTTAGTTTTTTCTTTCTATTAAATATATGTGTTATTTGAAGCCTATAGTTGCCAGGCATGACGGACAAGGCCCTGTGGGGTAATGGTTAGAGCGTTTAAAACTTTCTGGTAAATCTGGTACCGATTTCCACAGAGGGCTTTTTAGAAAATAGAGTGAAAAATGTGACTGTTCCTGTGGTTGTTAGAGAGTAGTACAAATATAGCTCCTTTGAAGAGAATGGAGAACGCATAATGTAATATTCTCAAAAACAACCTTGTTTGCATTGCATGCAACCTCTGCGGTGAAGACGGCACAACAGTAGTAGCTTATGAAACCAATTTGAAATGTAAAAGTAAATAAAGAATGAATTTTAATATACACAGACAAAGTTCAGTTCTTGATGCTTTTTTGTCACTTCCTCGTCCAGTTAACATGTCATTGTACAATTTATTATTTCTCATATGTGTGTTTGTCTGCATGTGTGTGTGTAGTTGTTCCATTTCTTCGTTCTTCCAATCTGTGACATGTGTTGTTTGGGAGAGGGCATGGTAGGAAGGCACGATACAGCTGAGGTGAAGCACAAACTTTAGGATGGAGATACTATTTCCCAGTTGTGAGCTCAGTGATTGAAAACTTTGAAAAACTGTCACTCCCTGCTATATCTCTCATTGATTTTTTGGTTGTGATTCGTCTCACAGACTTCTGTTAGGTCTAAAAACCAATATACAAATGAGTCTATATCCTTACTTGAAAATTTATATTAAAATTAGACTCGTCTAGGTAGGGATTCGACATCACAGCATTTAAGACAAGCATATATTAGCTCCGTCTCCCTTCTCAACAGCCAGCGAAGAGTCTCCACACTAATAGTAGCTTTTGTCTTCTGGTCTACTTGTCTTGTGTTTCAGTTGAATCAAGAATTCAGACACTCCATGTAAACTGAAACAAGTGGTCTTATTTTGTAAAGTAAAGTAAAGTAATGCCGGCGACCCTTTTCCGCGTCCTCAGGGGTTTTGGACATGTTAGGCTAGACCTATATTTTGTAGACAAGTCCGCACTAGGTGGGTGATGTAGCCAGTATCACACATGCCGAATTTACTTTCCATGACTATACCCTGTATCCGCTCAAGGCTGGGTCGACCAGTGAACCAGGATAATTTTTAAAAAAAAGTCCATTTCCGTAAAGACCCGAACCTATAAAGAACCGGTCCACAGGCGAGCGTCTAGATGCTACACCACGGCGGTTTCCAGTCGTATTTAGATTCAGTAGTATTTGTATTCAGATCACTCTAACTTTTTTTTTTTTTTTTTTTTTGAAATGCATATCTGTAATGTAGTTCTCCCTTTATTCTCCCAACATTCACATGCTGGGACAGCATGTGTTTCTCAACGACTCTAATTCACAAAATTATCTATCTGCCTGTTTACCACCTTTCCAGTTCAGTTTATACAGATGGTGCTGAGCCAGAGAAATTATCGGCGCATGGCTAGCGCTGTCGCCAAGGACCATTTAGTTAAGATGCATAAATGTGCCGCCGACAGAAAAACTCCAACCTCTTACTAGGAGTAAAACCAGGGTCTCCAGCATAACAGCCTAAAGTTGTAACCACTGGGCCAAACACATAATCTACTAGTCTGTTACTACAACCACTGCTGCAGCTTTGAGCAGAATAATTTAGCGGGCAAGATGGTTAGTGTTACTTCCCCGACATGGGCAGTAGTGATGTCATTAATGTCAAGTGAGATGCATATCGCGAAGATGATCGTGTTGGCGGTGGTGAGTATGGGAGTGCAGCCTGCAGCACCAAGGGCAAAAGTCATCTTATTGATCACCACAGAACAGCCGCCATTACTGATTTTAGTCCACATGAAGCTTTCGAGGAAAAGATCTGAGAAGCTTTGGATCTGTCCGGAATGATGTAATGATGGTCCACACTAATAACTAATCTTTCATTCCCATATCTTTTTATTTCCGTACAGCCTTTCAACCGTTCTCTTTTCTTTCCCACAACTTTTAATTCTCACCTACTTTTATTCCCACATCTTTACATGTCCAAACAGTCGTTCAACAACTCTTCGTCCCCATAACGAAATTTTTAATCTCATACAGCTTCTTGCAGATTTCTGAAGTCAGCAGTCAAAGCTCGCTTACCAGGGGCAATATAAACCGGCACCGGGAACGCAGCCACGAAACAAAACTGTTTGTCCGAAAACAAGACTAAATTGCCGATGTGATCGTCGCTGGAGCTATATATTTCGTGCTTTGTGCTTCACTCTTAGAAAAAAGAAAAAACACATGCGTATTCGAATGCACCGTTCTATTAAAATTTCAAAGCAATCGGTGAAGAACTTTTCGCATGCAGCGTCATGCTGATTTTTGAGGTCAACAAAGTTCGTCTAGCAACGAAAATAAAAACTCGCGCCGG